TACTGCTCACACATAAATCCTTCAAATGCAAGGTTGGTTTTATTTCTAAAATTATTCTGTTAACACACACATTCACATCAACAGTCTGGTGTAAAAACAGATTTGCTTCGGGTGTTTTGTGGAGTGGGTAAGACTGTTTTTTTTTTTGTGGCAGGCTAACTATGGCCATTGACATGCACTAGCCTAGCACCAGTAACCTCTGCAAATACAAGGACTGGATGGAATATTTTAAAAAGTGTCTCTACACTTCTCCAATACTCTGGCTATCTAGGAAATTAGGTCCTATGTCCAAAGTTCCAGACTGTCCCTTTAAAAAGGTACTATATTATGCAAAATTTAATGTTACCTGCTCAAGAGTTGTGATTTGTTTCATTCACCCATGTTTGAGTAACCGTAAATTTTCATATGGGGGTCCATCACAGTCTTGTTTCTATGGATATGTCATTGCTCTGCTTAGAATATTCCTCAGTATGACATTAAAGAGTGCTACCTTACATTTATTCAATTATAAGTGGCTGTATAGCTTTTTTTTATTATTAGTCTGTCTGCATCTTAGTGTGAGATTGTCAATTCTATGTCTGAAATAATCCAAATGATTTTAGTGAAGGTGTATGGAGTTTAAAACATAGTGGAGCACTTCCTGTATTGTCACATGATGTCACAAGCTGGAACACAGTGTTCTGAGTCTGAGCGATGAACACAGCCTATATATGCAGGGTTTGTGTGTTGAACATGTCAATGAAACAAAACAAAACTGCAGGTATCTCTGTCATGAGGAAACAACATTAGAACACGGATGAGAGACAAGTTGTGCTTGTGTCTGCTAGATAGTTATAATCTACGACATCCATGAATCATTATGTTATCATTTGGACATTTAAATCGCAATAAGGCTCTAATACAAAGTTATAAAAGAAACAGGTCTGCTGATTTCTGTGTTGGAAAACTGTAGGGTCCAATGGGAGCTGATGTCGGCATTAACATCATCACAACACAAGTACTGCTCTGAAGGACCACATGCAGATCAGCCTCGCAACTGTTTTCAATTAAATGAAATTCAAGTTTACTTATATAGCACAGTGCTTCACAAAAAAGTCAACCAAAACAGAAGAAACAGTTACATATACATATATACAGATAACGTGAAAACTACAGTAAAACACCAACATATCCTGACTAGCTGGTACTAAATGCCAGGGAGAAGAGGTGAGTTTTCAGTCTAGTCTTAAACTGCATTACAGACTGAGAGGATCTGACAGGAAGAGGAAGGCTGTGCCACAGTCTGGGCACTGCCACAGAAAAGCCTCTGTCACCTCTCGTCTTGAGCCGAGTTTTGGGCATGACCAACAGGAGCTGGTCGGCTGTTCTCAGGGCTCTGGGTGGAGTACAGGGCTGCAGTAACTCCCTCAAATAGACAGGACAAATAGTGTGTTAACATTTGAAAGCATTTAATAACATTTTTAATTGCACTCGATATAAGGCATAGAGCCAGTGCAGGTTCTTAGTATTAGTCAGGAGATGAGCTGCAGCATTCTGGACATGTTCTAAGCGCTGCAGGAGCCCAACATACAAAGAATTGCAATAGTCCAGGAGCGATGTTACAAATGCATGGATATCTTTTTCAAAATCTGCCTCAGGAGGTAGGGCATTATTTGAGCAAGGAGCCTCAACTGAAAAAAGATGGACTTTATGACAGAGCTCATGTGTTTGTCCAGTGTGAACACAAAGTCTCTGAAACTGTGCCAAAAAGGCTATGGAGCACTGCCCAATCCTACACTTATTACCGATTAAGAAAATTAAATTAGAGAATGAAGTAAGTAAGTACAAACAGTAGGTGTGTCCCGGTGGAAGTGAAAACAGTGGGTAGAGATCGGAAGATTACTCAAACTTGCATGAATCACTCCAAATACAACTATGAGTGGGCACATGAGAAAGAAAAACGATTGCAACATGTTTAAAAGCGCGAAAAAGTCGATTTTGCACAATAGGTCATGTCATATGTACACCGATACTTTCCAAAATAGTACTGACTTAGAAGTACTTTTTCAAATGGGGACAGGTGGGGGTAGTTTTAAAGACTGCACTTGACATATAATATTTTAAAAAAGCGCACTGTTTAACTTTTCTGTTGGGGGTTCATCACAGTTTTGTTTTTATGGATACGTCATCGCTCTGCAGAGAATATTCCTCAGTATGACTTTAAACAGCTCTAGCTTACATTTATTCAATTACAGGTAGTTTTATAGCTCAAAAATACCTCGAAAAACTAAATTCTGACTGTAAGCTGGGTCGCCTCTCTACCGATCTGACCTGTAACTTGGCCATGAAGATAGAAAGGTTTAATGCCACACTGTGAAACACTCTAGAAAAAGCTAAAATATCTCCACAAAGAAAAGCATTTGATGGATCCTCCACCAAAAAAGTTCCACAATGCAATGTTTCTGTGTATTTTTTTTTTTATACGTAAATTACTTTAATGATTAAAAAAGGTCACACTGTGCTTTGTGTTATAAGGATCTTGGTTTGTGGTTGGTAAATGCACGGAGGCAAAGTGAAAAGTATAAGTCTTCGCATTGTACTACAGTTAAATTTGACCTAATGAGCACAAAACAGCAGGGACTTTTTAGCTGCGATATCTGAATAACATCTAACCTCAAACCCACTGAATAAATTACAGTGGCGTACTCATAACCTCATTTATAGTGAAACATGTTGCGTTGACATTTTCAGGCTGCCCCATGGTGAGCCCCACAGGTGTCAAAGAAAGGTTAGAGCATCTTCTGAGCTTCATGCAGCAGCCCAAACGAAAACCCAATCCCAAAATGTTACTTCAGTCAGATGATGTGGCTTTAGGACTGTGCGCTTAGTCATATTCTAACAGAGATTCAGTCTTTTTTTCCACTTGTCAATTGCCTTGTTCACATGCACAACAGAATCTGATGATGTTTTGATTTCTGGACCTTTAAAATTACCTAAATGTTCCAGTTTATGCTATTTTCTGATCTGGGTTATGGGGTTTTCTCATCATAAACATATCTGATGTCATGTGGCAATACAGGAAATGCTCCACTGTGTTTTTAAACTCCTTAAACCTTCATTTGAATTATTTGGATGATTTCCTGGAATTGCCAATCTCTACTAAAAAAAGTTAAAAGGTTGCTGTTAGCTTGAAAACCATCAGTTCATGACATCGCAAGGTTGACCAGAGCATTTTGATCTTTAGAGATATACACAGACTAATAACACAGGGTCACTGAAACATGTGTGAATGAAACAAATCAGAACTCCAGATTTGTTTTTTTGACGAGGTAACAGCATTGTAACATGGCTTAAAGCTCATACGAGTCGATTAGTAACTTTAAATGACATGTAAACTGCCAAATTGGATGGTAGTAATCAAAGCAAACCCTTATTTCTAATTTTTGGGAGGATGTTTATTATAAACTTGCTTTTCAAAGGCGCCCCTATCTACATATTGTTTAGACAACATTAATTTGAGAATACAGCAACATTGAGGGCCATGATTTCATTTTTAATCATCTTATTTTGCAGCCTACAAAGAGTTATTTTAGGCTACATGATGAATATTTCAATTTTGCGCATGCCCAATTCATCAAATGTGATATTATCCATTTTTGACAGATTTCCCAACTCCACTGACACGCACCACTGCTGCCCCTATGAGGCTCTATCCCTTTTAATGTCTTTGTCAATGTAACTTAATAGTTTAATAGAAAGATGACACCAAAGATGTGGATGATCTAAGAACACTTCTGTTGACTGATGACTTCTCAGGAATTCCCCGTTCATTTGAGTCCAGTGTGTCTCTACTAGAGCCGGTCTTTGGCACCAAATTTGGCACGGAATAAAAAGGTGCATTGTGAGCTACAAAAATGTAAGGTACAGGGTTATCAATTTCCAGCAATGAGACTTCTGCTAAAAGACAATTTAATAGATAGTCCAATAAGCTTCATCTACTACAAGAACCTGGAACCTTCTCACTGTGAGACATGAGTATTAACAACTGAGCCACTGTGTTTACTTCCACACATTAAACCAGAGCTGCAATCAACTAAAGAAATTCTTGGTCGCCTATAGACATGTACTGCCAAGCCAGTTGTCAACTAAAAAAGGAGGAGTGGCAAAACTATAAAGTATCTTTGTGTACCTGACCCAAACTGCACTCACAAGAACACACCTGCAAGGAAGTTCATGCAAAAACTACTATTTATGCAGAAAAAGTTCTAGGAAAGTGTATTTATTTAAAGACAGACTCAACTTCATCATCAATCATGAGTTGAATCTGCCTTTTTAAGTAGGAATACCCACAAATCTTCAGCTAACTCACTCACTAACTTGACTGTTGTCCCATATAAATCCTTATAATCTAAATAAAATGAATAGTAAACTTAAACATTTTAGTCAGCTAAGATACAATCAACTGTCTTATTTTCCTACAGCCCTATAAATTCCAGTGTCATTGTTTGACCTTTGAAAAGACTTTCAAGGCTCAAAGAAAAAAACAAAACATAACATTTCTTCTTCACTCTTCTATTACAGCTGGCACACTTTGGTCTGAACATGGTTTTAATAAAGATTAAAAAAAAGATTACAGCAGTTGGTATAGCTCTCCACTGTCCCCAAATTTCTCAAGGACCCCCTGCAAACTTAATAGCCCACCCATGGATTTTACCATGTCCTACAGTATTAATGTGGAAAATGTAAGAGCTAACGCCAAAGCTAATGCACAACAACATGATTTAATATCCTACAAATGGCTGCCATAATAAGTACCTTGCCTTTTTACTCTGCCATCTACCAGAACTGCTAACAATCTGAAGCCAAGTCCCCAAACTTCAGTACGATCAGTTTCCTCTGAAACCAAAGAAACACGTCGTAGAATTAACCACAAAGAACCTCACATCCTCTTTATTGTTAGGACTTGAGTACTTTATTACCCAATACCTAATACCAGGGAACAGAATGCACAGAATTTGACGCTGATCCACTGCCATCATAAACAAAACTAGAATTTGCCCTCTTGGAATCACCTAGATTGACTTGGGATGAGCAATTTGTCAACTTACAAATAATTCGTTTAGCTTTCATGGCAAACCAAGAAATTCCGACATGGCATGAAGCAGTAGATGACTTTGGTTGTGCCCCAGTGAGTAAGTATGCTTTAGGAGTAAACTTACAAACATGTGGTGTAGTCTTCTCAAATTTGATCTAATTTTTACGCAAATCCTTTACGCACGTGATCAATTAAAATTACGTGAAATGATGCATGAGAAGACAGTTGAAAAGACAGTTTTAAAACCGACATGACATGCAAAAGAGGTGAAGATATTAGCACCGACGCGGGAACTTACCTTTGATCCGTTTGAGGCGTAACGACGTCTGAAAAGCGCTGAGAGAACCACCGCGGTAAAGTTGCTCGTACAGTGACAGTTACGTCGGTGTTTGGATAAAATGGTTTCCAGCGTGAAAAGCGATGGTAGGGAGCGGGGAACAGCGGCAGATTGGAGTCAAGATTCCCGCAGAAGTGAGTAGACGCAGGTGGACACGACGGGAGCGCGTTCACGCTTCCTGTTTTGAAGGTGAATCTGCTCCACCGGTGCCTCGTCCCCGTTGCTCCCTACACCGCTGTGTGTGAGTGAGGGAACCGTCAATGGCCGCAAACTGTCAAGACAAAACCGGAACTTCAGCAGCAACTTTGGGTCAAAAATAAAAGCCCTTAACTAAATTTGCAGTGGACTTGGAGAGCTCTACCGTAAGTTCGTGTTGAAATGTACGGAAAAGACAAACGCAAACTTTATTACGCGCTTAGAATTGGTGTAGTTTGGTCGTTACAAATTAAATATACTTCTTATAGAGTTAGTCTTTGTGAGACAACAACATAACAATGCTTATTTTTAGCTTCTGTGTCTCATTTTACTCATTTGAATATAAGATGAACGCTAGGAATGTTTTAATTATTATCAGGCTACTATTTCATTACCACACACTTCAAATTCAGTAAAACAAATCATACACATTTTCCATCAAACACCTAATTGATGCTTTTTTGAACAATGCCTCATTATTCAGTTACAAAGGCAAATGGCGCCCTCTGTTGACGTTTCTGTGGCATAACAATGACGTTAGCCTAATCATTACCCATCACCCACAAAATGGCAATGATTACATCACAAAAGACATAATTGAAGTAGGTCATCCTGTCTGCCATTATAGAAATAGGACATTTCACAAAAAAGTTCCGGTTGTCAACAACGTATCAAATTGTCTCCAAAGGGATCGCAGAATTATGCACAGTGGATCTGTTGGATAAAACTGGGTCAAAAATAATTGTAAAGGTAGCGTCAGACTAAACTTCATACACGCCAGTGTTTAATCGTCTGTCTGTCGTTGTACGTAATGTGTTTACAATCTGTTGCATACAGGTTCGTGCAGTTAAAGAAATGGGTGTGGTTAAGATTGGAGTTCAAATCTGATTCACCTCAGAAATGTATCAGGAGGAGCTTCTGTGCGTCTGATCTGCTGCCCTGTGCTCGCCAGGTCAGGTCAGACTGACACATTTTGCCTTGATCCCTGCAGGTCTTTCTTTTCACAGCGTAAAGGCTGAAATAAATCCAAGTGGCTATAGCTTAGTGTTTGTAACAACAACCTCATTTAGTTTTCATTGGTCATGGAGGTCGTCACATCTCCATCAGTCCGCCTCAAGACAGCTGGTTCAGCATGTGAATGAATATTACAGCTTAAGTTTGTCCAGGCATTGTTATGTATCCAGCTATATTGTAGTTCTGAAGTGAACAGTGCAGTTACACACTATATTATCACACTCATATCTGATTGAATAATGTAGAATACTTGCTTTGTTTTGTCACATGTTTATTTGTTAAATATATAAACATGATTATTAATGTGCTACCAACTTAAAGTCTTATTCAAGTTTATGTAAGGTGCATTATTGTGATGTACCTTTTTGTTCCACAAGATGGCAGCAAATATCTGTAATAATTCTGTCCATCTCCAAACTATATCAGAAGATTTGAAATATTCACTGCTTTTTAAAATGAATAATATTAATGTTGTCATATAAATAAAAAAATAAAAGTCATATAAATTACCCAATATAAATAATATTTAATTATATAACAGTTTTAAGTGTAACATATATAGTATATTTAGATCATCTTTAAATCTAAATTATTTGCTCTGGAAATAAAAATTGCATACATTAATATATATATATTTTTTAATCTATCATCTTTTAATCTGTGGAGTTGCTTCCATTTTTTCAAGTCCTTCCTCACTCCGACTCGAATCTCTTCACAGACGAGGAGCTTGGAACAAAGTCTTATTTTTCTTTGTGGACTTGCAGATGTTGATATTGTTCAAATCACTTTTGCTTTAATCATGATTGAATTAGAAGGAGTAAAGCAGAGAAACAGCAGTCCTCCTTCAGTCCATAGCACAAGACGATTTGATAAAGTCTGAGAGGAAATATTCACTGTAGTTTAGAGGGCAGAAGATGTTTTTTTGTTTTGTTTTTTCTAGATTTTTTTTTTTAAAACAATACAATAATTATTATTTTAAAGGGACTATAAACAATATACAATAACTAAATGCAATTATGATGGAAATAGTTGTACTAACTGAACCCATAAAAAAACTTACTTGTGGAATGAAATATGACTTGAGGAAATACAGTAGTCATTCTAGAAGTAACATGATAGGTGCCACTAGTGCTTCAGATGGGGACTTGAGCTGTGTTAAATATGAGACAGAGGTCAAAGGTCAGGCTTGCAGACCACTTCCTGTTTTAGTTTTGTCTGTTGTAACCATGAAACAAATTTGCACATGTGAATTTGTGGATCCAGTAAACCAGATACATGTTTATTTTGATTTTATTTTCATGTACATTGGTAGGACAACAAATATTACCACTTTTGTTATTAAAACACAATTTATTTTTATTCCCTTTCTCGTTGATAAAGTTTTTCATTAGTCACTGAAATAAAAACGCACAGGTAATGTGGTTAGTGTGGTAGTAGTTCTGCATGTATTGTAACTTATACCTTTCTTATAGTTACAATATTTAAACAGTGTACTACTGTATATGTAATAATTTTAGTTTTTCTTTAAACTGCCATTATCTTAACTTTTCTACTTTTAATTATGAAATGAACCAACACCAATGCACTCCAGAAAAACATACAAACCTATTTTATAGAGGGACACAGGAGCTCATTCTCCAACAGGCTCCTACAGCTCCGCTCAGACAGTGACAGATACATGACTACATTCATACAACAACTCACCCTTATGGAACAGATAATACTCCCTACAACTGCACAACAACTCACCCCTATGGAACAGATAATACTCCCTACAACTGCACAACAAATCACCCTTATGGAACAGATAATACTCCCTACAACTGCACAACAAGTCACCCTTATAGAACGGACAACCTTTTGTCACGTCAAACTCTATTTCATCTTTAAACTGTTTCTCCTGACCCAGTATTTGTATAAAACTGAGATATACTTTTATTACTTTATTTATGTATTTTGTTTTTACTTATACTTACATGTATATAATTTTCTTGATATTTTTGATACTTATTTTGAACTTATTATCACCATTTATATTTTTGCTCTTTGTTATTGTGACGTGTGAGCTACTGTGTCTAGATAATTCCCTTTGTGGATCAATAAAGTCTGAGTTATAAGAAAAACGGGACTTTTGGGATAATACGCATGCGCTCCTCCTAATAATCCAAGCAAAAACGGAACCACTAATAGCCAATTACATTATAACATCTTCCCCAGGCCTGATGAATCCGCCCGTATCCCTGGAGGTTGGTTTTGGCTGCGCGGTGCCGGTGCGTATATCCAGTATCGTACCCAAAGTCCAGACCTATAGCGCGCGGAGACAGGTGCAGCCGCGTAATAGCGCCTATGGGACCCGGTTTCGTCTCTGATTAATTGTGATGTTAACAGCAGATGAACTTTGCTAATAGCCTCGCGCTGCAGCCCTGCGGAAGTTTTCAGGAGGCGAGAAGGGAAACGGGGTTAAAAATAGACCCCATCAATGCGCTATGGGAAGAAACGCGCATTTAAATCCCGACAAAACGATTTGGAGCGCAATAATCAACAGAACGGAAACGGTCTATCGCGTTTCCCCTTTACTGTACATGCAACGCACTTCCTACACAAATGCGACAGGAAAAGTGACATTTAAGTTTTCTGGTAATCATGACGTAGACCAGGCGCCCTATCAAAATGGGGTTCATGGGCTGTACTCATGAAATTGTTTCAAATTCTTAATAAATTCTACTTAAAATCCATAAGACTTTTCAACGTGCATGCATGGAACTGATAAAACTTTAAAAAATATAAAGTTAGGAGGTGTAGGAGAGGCTATTACTGTTTTATTTTGGTTTTAATAACTAATAATATGCATTTTCTTTCCATCAGTTGTCGTTTAGAGCAAAATATATGAATCTATGTGATGCGTAAAATCATCTAAATTGCATTTTGTATGAGAAATTGAATAGAAACACGTTATCCTTCTATTTAAATCCTTAAAGAGACACTGCAACTTGATTAAAGCGTTGCTATTTGTTAGGTATTGCAATCTGAAGTAAAAATTATGATCAGAAAGTGACTCGAATATACCTTGACCTATTAGAATAAGCATGTTACGGGTTATTATTTCCAGCAGCACTCAGCACTTTGTTTGAAATGATAATTAACACGAAAACCCAACCTCTTTCCTGTGAAGGTCAAAGCCGGAGTGAGAGCTGCTGGAGAGGGCCGTGTGATATTTGAGTCTGCAGAGCGCCAGGGCAGAACGCGAGGGCACCGGGAGGTCACGGCGCGCGCACTGCTCCATGTGAATACTGTCTCTGTTCTTCTCCGGTACATCACACTCGCCTTTATTAATAACCACAGTATTAACCAGGCAGATGGGTCCTATTCATTCTATTTATAAACTCTGGCCGCATGACAACACTATTATTTTGGGTTATTAAAATGATTGCATATCTTCCATTGTTTCATCAGGTCGTCATTAAGATATAAATCTTTGGTGACTGAAAACAACACGTAGATCACCGTGGCAGTGTGATTACGTTGGAGATGTTCCCAAGAGCGCACTCTTCAAAATAAACACCAGTTAATATTGTAACCTTTTGTTGACGAATTGAGCATGCTACTGTAACCTGCAGGCCCCAAAACAGAAACTGGAAAAAAAAAAATCGCGCTGATTTTGAACAATCACCGGATTTTGTGCAAATCAAATCTGCGCATATTTTCCTGTTTGGAGCGGTTGTATACTAAACAGTGGTGACCCCTACTCTGCGCTTGAATGGGGTCGGCTGATGCGCACCGTTCTGAGGTGGAAACTGCCGCTCTTCGCTCTCAAACATCACGAAGAATGCCAAGAATTCAATTGTGTGAGACATTGGGAAACCTGCAACCTGCGTGTGACTTGACCGGCCGGGTCGCATCGCCGGGGCCCCGTGGAGCGTGCAGAGCAGGTACAGGCGGCGCGCGCATATCAAGACAAAGCGAAGGTCAAATGCGTTGCTCTTACAATGACTTGACCTCGTTCGACGTGTTGATCATAATCTGTCATCTGTGAGAGCACAACAAAGGATACAATCAGGTCATTCAAAGCAGCTTCTGCGGAAAAAAAAGCTGGAAACACGCTGCGCCAAACCTGTGCTCAGTGGGCAAAAACCATTACATGAGCAGAGCAGAAACTATGCCAGAGCTTGTGGGGAAAACAAGCTTTGACTTTGTACCATGTTTTAGCTTTAGTCATTCACGTTTGTTTTTTTGTTTTTTTTAAATGCTGAAAAAAAATATTGGAATTAATAAGACCAAAAAATGCCGCATAAGCATATATAAGCAATATAATGAGTAAAATCATTCAAATCTGATCAAATCTGATTACCGTGGCCCTTAATGCAACACAGCAAACAACAATTTATTAGAGAAAGCTAGTTATTACACACAGAATAATTATAAAATAATAGTAATAAAAAATGAAAAGTTCTCTAAACTATGTATTGTTCCATAAATTTGTCAAGCTTCTTCCAATCCGAGGTACCCAACTCACAGACTTATAATTTTACTCAAAGATGCTGCATTATATATTGACCTATATATATTTTGACAATGCATGGTGCTTTTAATATTTGGCCTTTGTATTTTAATGCTCATAATTTGCATTTTTGTATCAAGGCTTCAATCCAAATACCTCCAGTTCAGCTCCAACTTCAGTTTTACGCACAAACTGTTCCAGTCTGATTATGCAGAATGTATGTGAAGACACGTATTTTGAGGACATAATTGTGAATATAAAATCCTCATCAAAAATCCAGTCTATGAAGAAAAAAACGAGTGTCAAATTACTCTTCAACATTTTACGCCCGACGTCCATTAAAAGCGGAAGTCATAATGGTTCCAGTTTTGCTCCAATGTTTATTTGTCCCGGAGACCAAAGTCAAATTAAGACCAGCTCCCAAACGTGTCGCTCAGTTCAGTTTACAAAAAGGTTAGTTACACTCGAAGAAACATTATTTCATGTACAACGCTTATTTGTTATTTTTGGGAGAATGTTTATTACAAACTTGCCTTTCAAAGGCGCCCTTATCTGCGTATTGTTTACAAAACATTAATGCGAGGAAGCAGAGAATACAAGTACATTGGGGCCTCGGGAGGATGAAAACGTGTCAGTTAAAATCATTACAGTTAAATATTTACAGCGCAATAAAAAGGTTGAAAGGGTGAATGCAAAACTTGAAACCAAAATAAATAAATAGTCAAATATGCGTTTAACTTAATCCTATCAACTTGCATAAAAATGTGATGATTTGGACCTAATGAGTAATAAGTTTTTAGTTTTTTAAAGTTTTTAGTTTAAACTGTAAGAAGTGCTTTTTGATATGTTTGTTTTAATATTTTTTTAATAGCTCAATTCAACAGACGCAGTTCACAGACAGCCCCTGGCCACAAACACATCTCAATTCTAATTCTATGGTGCAGCCTGTAGTCTAAATTTAAATTAAATTGCATTAAAGGGGCATATCACTTGAGCCAAACCCGCCAACAGATTAAAGTAACAGGTAAACTGCAGTTACGTTTTAAACCACAGTCGTACGCGCGGCTACAAGGAAAATAAAACATGAGTCTTGTTCTTAAAGGCCTCGGGCGAACGCGCAGGGATCATACGGGGATCTGAACCACGAAGGAGGAGCTGTCCGGTCCGCGAGACTTTACGCTTTTCTTTGGTGATTTGTCTTTGCGCATCAAAATCAACGGTGCGAGTGACGTCACAGTTGGCTCTGGTTTAGCGGCTTGTTTTATTATTATAACACGCTTCCCTCCTTTGTCCTGATTTCCTTTATGATTCTGGGGCGCGCGAGAGGTTCACAGCATCGTATTGTTATCGTCAGCTCAAAGTAGAATTATTAGTTTATACCTTTGCCAAATGATTCAGTAAAAGTTATATTTCTCCATTCATACAGACTCTAACTAGCGCTCACTGCACTGAATAGCCAAACAGTGACAAACTGGTCATTTATTAATGGAAGCTTGGGCTAAATGAACTATAAAACACAATACCAATGTCTAATAAATTTGCCTACACGTTATTTTAATTTTTTAAAGAGATGTAGACGCACACAAAATATATAAAGCAGTCATTTGTTTGGACTCTATACTGATTGCTGCTGTACTGCCATGAACACAAAACAAAACTGATTGCTGAGGCGCCAGATTTGTAAAATTTCCATTTCGGACTACAGCTCTAACTAAATAATAGGCCTTGAGTTTTGCCGTATTTCATATTTTAAATAAAGGATAAACCTATGATTCAAATTGTCATTATTTTTTCACTATTTGTTTTATAGCATTTAGTTTTCATTTCTATAGCTGTAAGACTCGCGTGTTGAAAACAGGAATACTTAAAAAAGTAATAAAAGCACTATAAACCAGATTTAAAAGAGAATTTTTATAATCCACTCTGCCACCGGGTGACAAAATTTGTGTTCTGTTTTTTTTTTAGTAAAAAGCAGTGGCATTAGAGACTAAAGCATAAAACAGACCACTGTGATATTTTATGAAATACAAGTTTATTTAGAAATTCACAAAACTAAAAAAAGAGCGAAAAGTGCTAAGATAAAACATGGCCCCAACATGAATGAGACAAATAACTAATCACTTTTATAAAAAATAATAATCAAAACATACACAAAACCTGGCGCCGTCTGCATCGCTCTGGACATACAAAAAAAGCTTGTGGAGCCCAAAAACCCTGTCAATGAGTCAACGTGTAATTGTTCCCTGTTGTTACAAGTCCGTCAAAAATGAGGTTAGTGGCGGGTTAAATAAACTTTGGTTCAGTCATATCATAAGTCATTGACATAATTAAGGCACTGGGGATTCTAGTAACTTTTGGCAAATGGACGTAAATGCCGTGCGTAAATCTGAGAAAACCATTACGCACATGAGTAACACACCGTCAAAGTAAATCCCTGTTTATACTGTACAATGACACAAATTCATATCAATCACAGGGGCTTAAAAAGCCTCTGAATGGAGTGCGTCCGCGTGAGATTTGTAGCTTTTTGTATTTATTTTATTATATATTTTTTTTTACTTTGACTTGATGTGAATAAAATTCCCAGCTGCATCGTGTGTCAGACACAAACAACTCGTCAGAAAGTCTCTTCAAATAGTCCGATGGCTGTTTTGAAATTATAGGAATTACTCTCATTCAAGAGCGCTCAGGCTATATATCAATCCTCGTGTGTAAGGCCGAGTGTTTGGTCTCGTGTTCCCAGTACGAGCAGTGCATCATGGAGAGCTCCGAGGGCTGACGGGAGCAGGCGAACTGGAGCCCGGCGCCGTTGCTCGAGGAGACCGGGGGCGGCGCAGCTGTGGCCGGGCTGAGCTGCTGAGTGTGATGGGGGTGCGCGGGGTGATGATGGTGACTCATGCCGTTGTAAGAGTTCACCATGCTGGGCAGCGCCATGCTCTGCACTCGGGAATAAGGATTGTAAGAAGAAGGCGCAGACAGTCCCTTGACGTTGACCGGACTCACGTTGCCGCTGGCCATTTGACAGGACGCGTAGGACATCGGGGCAGGTGGCTGACCGAGGGACCACGAGTTGTTCATGAAACTGGACTGCAGGTACTTTGGTGGGGAAAGATAACCGTAGCCGTCGCCTCCAAACAGCGTCTTACCGGGCTGGAAGTGCGTCGGTGGAGGTCTGAAGGGGCGCTTCATCCTGCGCCTTCTGCGATAGTTTCCCTTCTCGAACATGTCCTCACAGGCCGGGTCCAATGTCCAGTAGTTCCCCTTTCTCTCCCCACCACCTTCTCGCGGAACTTTGATGAAGCACTCGTTGAGGCTCAGGTTGTGGCGGATGCTGTTCTGCCAGCCCTTCTTGTTCTTTTCGTAAAAGGGGAACTTACTGATGATGTATTGGTAAATACCGGACAGCGTGAGGCGCTTCTCGGAGCTTTCGCGGATCGCCATTGCGATGAGGGCCACGTAAGAGTACGGAGGCTTTTGGGTCGGGTCTGGCTTCTCTACGCTCTTGTCCTGCACCGGCTCCTCTTTGGTTCGTTCTTTCTCTTTGGTCGTATTCGTGTCGTGGATCATCAGCGCCATAGCCTCCTCCTCCGGGCTTTGATAAGTAGCCATCATCGCGGACTCCAAAACCATAGAAAGTCCAGATGCAGAAAACTCAGTAAACGACAACTGAAGTTACAAATCCACTGCAAAGTCTTTTTGTAAACAGCGCGTTGGATTCCTTACATCTGCAGTTCACAAAGGTATGCGCACCAGATCCACTTCTTGTGAAGAATTTTAGTTTCTGATGGAGGCGCTACCCAAGTTGTGGTTTGTGATTGCGAAGCCCTCCCCTTCCATGTGTCTGCAGTGACAGGCTGCTGCTGCGCCAGTGCTCCGCGCGCAACGACGTAAAGCCTTGTGATTTGTGCGCACGAGTTCCGCCTCTGACCGTTTGCTGTGAACATAGACCGTCTATGGCTGTGAATGAAAAAAATCTCTAGCTTCAACTACGCTTAAATACGATTACGCACTGTGCGTAAAAGTGGCACACCAGCTTCCATTATCTGCTCATTTTGACCTATAAACAAATACTGAGGCCGTGCGTAAAATGAGCTAAATATTCCTTCAGATATAAATACAATATTTCAGAATGGATTCATTTGGATTTAAAATAACTGTAGGCCTGTTGGCTACTATTACTTTTCATGATCATGTTTTTGCTATGATTTTGCAAAAGCACTCACACAAAGTGTTCTTAGAAATATTATTGCATTTAACAGCACTGGCCTGTACACACTGAAACACACAGAAAATTGAATTGAAGCAACTAGCAATCGAAATGCAATACTGTATAGAATTATTCAAATATTAGAAATCTGCTTTAATAAAACAAAGCCTAATAAATAAGTTCATCTTTGCGTATTTTATATTTATGTGCATTATAATGGGGGTATTTTTTCAGAGTACTGTTGAGTACCTCTGCTGTTCCTTGTTGCATTTTTTTTTCTCTACAGTTGGACACAGTAAATACGATAGATTATTGAGATATATTTAGCTGAAGCAGAACGCGCTCTCTCCTTTCTCCATTACAAACCAAGGACATGAACGTGGCCACATGTTCATAGCTCGAGGACCAAACCGCTGTTGTTTAATTAGCCTTCGATGAGAATGGAGGCGCGAGGAGAGGTGTCCATTTCTCCGGGCCACCCATGCGGCTCCCTTGGGCTTCTCTGGGACTGTATTTTCTGCGCTCCGAGGTTCCGCAGGTGGAACAGCATTGGCATGTGTGTCATCACCCCGCACCCCGCCTGCAGCTCTCTCTTCCCCGCCATCCGCAGCAGCTGAGGAGCGCTCACATCACCGCGAACCATCTCTCAACGTGCAATTACCACGCACTCACGCTTTCAGGCCTTACAGCGCCCTGTTAGCTCTTGTTTTTATGTCTTTTTCACAAGTGTAAGACCGACAGCGTTTCAGTAAGCTCAGCACAACTATTAAGGATTTGACTTGGTTTCAACATGACTTCATCCAGTGGCTAATTAATAGAATACAACTTCTAAGTGGGCCCAACACTGTTTAGAAACCCACCGATCATATTGCCCGTGTCGTGCCTAAAGATACAGAGTGTACGAAAAGCAGTGGAGGGCGTAAAAACTGTAGACAAAACTTTCTAAAGAGAAAAGACGTTATGTTCAGTTAATGCATCAAAGGGTTCATTTGAAGCTCACTGTTGTTTAAAAATAAAATAATACTGTGCTCTTTCTTTGGTCAGTTTGACTTAGTTTAGCTTGTGTCTGGTCTATAGTGAGTTTGTGGTCTCCGTCATATTAGTAACACAATAGAATGTCACTAACTGTCTGTTGTGATTTGCATGCTTTCTTATCCAGCATCTGAGCAGGCCTTCACACAGCTTTTGTGGACAAAGTGCGTGAACTAGATTACGACAGTAGCATATCAATTTTGTGCTCAACGGAATATTTGTACAATAGAATATTTGTGCACACCACACACAGAATTGTGGAGTAAAATACATTTGAATTGATTTTTTTTAACCTGTTACTGTCGTTTTTCAAACAAGGATTTTTTTTTTTTTAATCTTAACGCCCCAATTTTGTGACGGACCACATGAGCAAAAGCGTCATTTGGATAACGTGTAGTTTTCCATGTAGGTTCGCATCACGTTTCTGCCCTGCAAAGCCTCTGGCTGCAGTCACGCGCGTCTGTCACAACAAAATTGTAAACTGGCGCGTGCAGAATCCGTAAACAAAACAAAGTGAAACCCGAAGCGGTCCTAAGCCGCATTTGGATGATGGGGAAAATCTCCTTAACAAGATTAAAATAGTTTTATACGACCACAATAAAGCCAAGAGGGAGGCTCAGTATTGGCCACGCAATCATGAATCCAACTTGTAGACACAGTTCACGTGTTTAAAGGCGAGTCAGCTGTTTGCCTTTAAACAGGCCTTCCAATGTTTAATATTTAATATAATTTATGTATTATTTCTATAATAACACATTCATAACACATGTGGACTTGGAGTTTTCCTGCATGGAAATACTAGAATGTGACTTTTTTATTTATTTATTTTTTTAAGTGAAATAAAAAAATACTCTTAATATAATACCACCACTACTATTAGTATTACCAGCGTACTACTACTGCTACTACTACTATTACTATTTATAATAATAATACTAATAGCAATACTAATATGGATATGAATAATAATACACAATAAATAATAATAGTATGAATAATAATAATAATAATAACAATAACCACACATTGAAGCAAAGTGACAGGCCCAGATCCTGCAAACTCACTGAGCGCTTCACAGTGTCGTTAGAAAAAGTGCACTTCCTGTGGCCGTGCGCTTCCTGCCCTCGCGCTCGGGTTTTTAGGATGTTTACGAATAGAGCGCACGAGGAATGCGGCGCGCGGGCCTGACGGGTCGCAGGACGGGTCAGGTGTGGACCATGGACCTGCACAAAAAAACACTGCACAATTCAGTGACGGTCTTCTGTCTATTTACAGATGGATTTAGTCACGCGTAAAACTAGAGGCGCACATTATCGGCCACTATTTATGATGATAAACTGGAAGATGGGATTCATATTTTAATTTAAATCAATACGTTATGTTTCATTACGTTGTATAAGGATAGACAGATTTATATATTTTATTTTTATATATTAATTTATACATAATAATTATAATATATCATAATAAATAAATACTAACTCTTGGGGATTTTTTTTTTTTTTTTAGCTTTTTACTGTAAATATTTTCACTATTAAAACAAAAACTTAAATTAATAAATTTTTGGTTGATTTTAATATCAGAATTGAACAGTATATGTGCATCTTTGTATTTTTTCCATCCATTCAGTCTCTTATCTAGTCTCTTTTCTATTGGACTTTTTATTGACTTTGCCTCATAACAAGCTTCAACAGTGAGGTGCAGTTTGTTCAATAAATAAAATGAAAATATTTACATAGATAAATAATAATTCTTGATCTTGTCCTCATTTGTAAACGTGTATACAGGACTGGTGCTTGGTGTGAGGAGACTCTGAGGGGGCTCTACTGGTGTGTCCGGTGTCGGGGAGGCTCTGTTGGTCTGTCCGGTGTGGGGGGGGGGCTCGGTTGGGTTGTCCGGTGTGAGGGGGGGCTTTGGGGTGCTTTAGGGGTGGGGGGCTCTGCTGGTGTCCTGGTTTGATCTCTTGGGCCAAATCTCCTTCTTTTGCATCTGGTTAAAACCTGATTCTTAAAACAACCACCACGTGAAAGAGCTCTTCAATGGAATCCTTATGACGAGATAGGAGGATGAGGAGAGAGAGAAAGGAGAGAGGTGGAAAGAGAGAGGGGAGAGGAGATAGGAGGGCAAGGAGGGAGAGAAAATGGAGATGTGGAAAGAAAGAGGGAGGAAGAGAAACAAGGAGGAGAGAGAGAGAAAGAAAGAGACAGGGAGGGGTGGAGAGGAGATAGGAGGATGAGGAGAGAGAGGAGGGAGCAAAAGGAGAGAGGTGGAAAGGGAAAGTGCGTGAGAGAGAAGGGGGAGGAAGGAGAGGAGACAGGAGGATGAGATGGAAGAGAAAATAGAGAAAGGAGAGAGGTGGAAAGAGAAAGAGAGGAGAGAGGAGGAGGGGAAAGAGGAGGGAGCAAAAGGAGAGAGGTGGAAAGAGAAAAGTGTGTGAGAGGGGGGGAGGAAGGAGAGGAGATAGGAGGATGAGAAGGAAGAGGAGAGAGAAAGAAGAGAAGTGGAAAGAGAAAGAGAGAAGGAGAGAGAGGAGGAGGAGGGAGAGAGAGGAGGCGATGAGGGAGGAGGGGAGAAAGCAGAGAGAGAGAGAGAGAGAGGAGAAGAGGAGAGAGAAAGAGAGAGGGGGAGGAGGAGGGAGGGAGAGGAAGAAGGGAAAGAAGGAGAGAGAGGAGTAGAGGAGGGAGAGAGAAGGAAAAGAAAGGAGAGAGGTGGAAAGAGAAAGAGAGAAGAGGAGATGAGAGAGAGAAGGAGGAGAGGAGAGAGAAAGAGGAGCGGACAAAAGAGAGACAGGAAGGAGAGAGGAGGAGGAGAGAGAAAGAGAAAGAGAGGAGGAGACTGAGGGAGAGAGAGGAAGGAGAGCAAGAAGGGGAGAGAGAGATAATGAGAAAAGTGAGAGAAGGAGAGAGAGAGAGGAGTAGAGAAGGTAGACAAGGAGAGAGAGAAGAGAAGAGGAGAGAGAGGAGGAGAGGAGAGAGAAAGAAAGACAGAGGAGGAGAGAATGAAGGAGGGAGAGAAGGTGAGAGGGAGATAAGGTAAGGAGTGAGAAAAGGAGAGAGGTAGAGCGGAGGCAGAGAAGGTTAGAGAAGGTTAGAGAGAGTAGGAGAGGAGAAAACGAAGAGAGAGAGAGCGAAGAGGGGAGGAGAGAGAGGATGTACCCTCAGCCCTCATGCGGCGGATCCAACGTGGCTCCTGTTCTTTAGAGAAAAGAGCAAACAAACACTGCACCTTTAAATCTCCACCTGCAATAATCCACCGCAGCCAAGACAGAGGAGAAGTCATGTGACAGCCCCTCGCATTTTCAAATTTAATACATGAAAATTTCTATAAGAATTGAGAAAATGGTGATGGTATGGCGTGGTAACAGAAAAAGTGCTGAGGGCAATGAGAAAACAACCAAAGCAATCAACACAGCAGTGAAACTGTACAGAAAACTCAACAATTACTCATCCACCCAAAAGATAAAGCAGAACTGAAGCATAAATGTAATGTCCTATATGAAATCCCCTGAATGTCCTGTAATAAAACATAAATTGAGGAAACAGCGAAGGCGAAACATGAGCAACGAAACAGAAAGCAGAAC